GTGGTCGTCTTAGGTAGGACTGATCAAGAAGAAGAAAACAAATGATTCCTATCAGAGGTCCCAATCGAAAGTTGCCGCATTGTTGTTTTTGTTGTTGGTGGTGGTGGTGGTTTGTATTTTGTTTGTAATTTTTATTTTGCTGCTGATTTCTCAAAAGGGTGACAATAAAACGAAATGTATCAGACAAGGAAGACCGAGTGCGAAGTAAAAACAAACTCCTGGGTCGCCACCACTCGGAGAACGAGCGACGTTTCTGTCACAAGTTCATGTTGACGTCCTTTGTTACTTTGTTACAGACTGGGTAAACAGTGACCACTCATCTCGCGTACGATTTGTGTTTAAGTTCTGGGCGGGGCTTATGGGTTATGAGGGATCCACAGAATTCTACACTAAGTGTAGAATTCTGTGGAGGGATCACACGCTTACCTCACCAGCAGCTGAAAATTGGTAGCTATTGGTCAACAGTAGGAGGGGCCTACGCAACATGATCGGTCGGAGGGACTACCTAACAACAGCGACAGGGGATTGAATTATGACGGCTTGCCCACAATGCCAGGGGCCAAAGCACAATTTATGACTAAACGAAATGGAGCCACTAAGGTGGCCGTCTGAGACGGGTGTTATTGCTTTGTGTGATAGGGGTTGTGTGTTGAAATAAGGTGGTCGTGGCCGCGTTGGACAGGTGCCCGTTTTAGACAGTTAAATTATATAGAAAAAACGCAAGGGGGGAAATGGAAAGTGGCCGTTTGTACAGGTGGCCGTCTTATAGAGGTGGCCGTCAGGGCAGGTTCGACTGTATATGATAAAAGAAATAATCAGAAATTATGCCCCAAAAAAATGATCAAATTTTGGTAAATTATGCGGGGTGCATAAAATCACGGGGACAGAATAGGGGCCTGCTATAAGATAAGATAAAATAAGATAGTACTTTATTATCCCAGAGGGAAATTTTCCTTGGCTGTACAGGACCGTAAAAACACAGGCAGGTATACATTTAAAAAATGTAAATAAATTAACTATAATTATGCACTCTACTGTTTACATCTAATCTAGTAATGCCCTACATGTAGAGCTTCACATAATAATTATACGTATAACATGTATTTTTGGGTATTATTATAGTCATTATTCGTACAGCTACACTTAATTGGAAATGAGCCCCATTTGCATTAACACAGAATCAAAAGCGACACAAGCCTGAACCAAAGGTGCATTTATCAATTGCAATCTTTAGTAGAACCAATTAGCGTAAAGATCGATTTTTGGCCAGTCCCTCGCTGTGCCGTTGTACCACGGCCTACTAGCCTAGCCCTAGCTAGGCTAGGCCACAGAATTCTACACTTAGTGTAGAATTCTGTGGGCTAGGCCTACAACAACAAGACACGGGACAGGACAAGCTAGGCTTAGGTTAGTGATTGGCCGATATCACAATTTAGGTATCGAGTCGATACCAAGTACTTTTCAAGGTGTCGATATCGATACCTCAATACCCAGGCTTTCTCATATATATATGGGAGTGTATCAAGGAGATTAAAAGTAATGGAGGATGCTCTGTGGGCGGCACCGCACGCCTGATAGGAGCCCTCTCTCGCGGCGGAACTGTGGTCTACCTGCGCTGAGCGAATGCCCGACTTACGCACTGAAATCTAGATAAGAAAGGTTTTATTCCGAGGTCCTTGAGATTAGGCAAGTCAATTAGTAAAAATGCCTTG